GCTCGCGGCGGCTCAGCGCAGCGCCCAGAGCCCGCTCCCCGTACGCTGGCTCGCGGCCTCCCCGGGGGCCCGGGACGCCGGGGAACCCCACCCCGACCCCAGCCCAGGGAGTAACAGCGCCCGCCGACGCCTGCCCCAATCCGGTCGTGGAGAAACCTCAGCCCCACATCTGGATCTGCCTCTTCCCTCAAAATAACAATCCCCTTTGCCACCATCCCTCTTCTACTGCTGGAAGGGCCGTTCCCTTCTTATGGCCCCACCTGTGGCCCTTTCTCTATCCTCCAGCCATTCGGCTGTAACCCCCAGGGCCAAGTACACACGTCCGCAGCACTGAGCCCAGCCCCAGGATCCTCACCTCCTGGCTGTCCCTCTACGCCATCCCTGGAGCCTGGCCGGCAAGGTCAGCCCTGACTGTGGGGCAGAGAGGGCTCGGCCACAGCACACTTCTGTGGGCACCACCAAGGCCAGACAAGGGGCATGAGGACCTCAGACTCCTTTGGAGCTCTCCCGTCTCCAGCTGCTCAGGCATCCCCTGTTCCCGGGGTCACCACCAAATCCAGATACTGCCTGGCTGAGCTGGTGCCCCTGATGCTGGGGCACAGACACAAGGGGCGAGGACTCTCTTTCAAAAGTAGAGTAAACACACAGCCAGGCTGCTGCCCTCAGGAAACCTTCTAAACCCCCTGATGCCCTCCAGAGCTGCCCCTGAGCTCAAGCTCAGGCTGGCCCTCCCCACAGCTCCTTCCCCAGGCGTGGCCTGTCACCAGGCGGGACGAGCCTTGGCAGAGTCTTACAGGAGATTCTGGGAGGGAATGGGGCTTGGATAAAACCCTTTTCAAATGATACATGTGGTCTGTGAGGCCAGGAGTATGTGGTGTAATAGAAGGGCTGACCCTGCCTGACCTTAGTCTTGCAGTGATGTAACCTCTGGGTCCTGGTGTCCTCATCTGTGAAATGGGAATAATAAGAGGTCCTACCTCAGAAGGCAAGTAACATCCTGGCATGTCATCATCAGAGTAGCTTTTGGCTTTCCATACCCTTGGCCATCCTGGGTGTGGCCTTCACTCCCCTTCTCTCCTTAGTCCTGCGAAAACCTAAACTACATTTGTACTTGAGAGATAATGTCACTGGGTTCCACTGTTTATTCTGTTTTCTGTTGGTTCTCTTTGCATCTGAGAGTAGAAATCATCACAGGGTAGGAATGGTGTTTCACCCAAAGACTAGGAAGTCCCAAAAGGCAGGGGCTGGACCTCTCCCGTCAAAGTGGGGACTCTCCCAGCCCTATCTGACTCAGGATTCTCAAGGGCAGAGATGATGCCTTCCCAGCCAGCCTGGGAATTTCACAGAGGCAGGGACTGTACCTTTCCTATCAGATTGAGGGCTCTGTCAGCACAGGGATGATGCTTCTGTCATCAGATGGGGCTCTCCCAAGGTCTGGAGCTGGGTTTCCCCCATCAGACTGGGGAGTCCCTAAGGGTAGGGGCTGTGTCCCTATTGTCACAGTCCACTGGAGAGAATTCTTGACCACCTTTCAGACTTTGAATAGTGGGGAGAAGAGGACACGGGGGTGACCCGAGTGACAGAACATGAGAAAGGACCATGACATAACCTAGGGGGTACACCCGACCCCCATATAAGTGGGCAACATGCAGGGGTCCCTCAGCCCCAAGTCAGAGTGGAAGGGACAGGGACAGAGATGATGCTGGTGGTGGGGAATGGTGGAGCAGAACTCCTGGGTCCTATAGGGACAGCGCTCTCACTCTCCTTCCAACTCCCTCCATAGGTCATCTGTGGCCAGGATGATGGTCCCCCCAGCTCAGAGGATCCTGAGCGTGATGACCATGAGGGCCAGCCCCGGTCCCGGGTGCCTCGGAAGCGGGGCCACATCTCACCCAAGTCACGCCCCATGGTCAATTCCACTCTCTTAGGGCTGCTGGCCCCACCTGGGGAGGCTTGGGGGGTCCTTGGGCAGCCCCCCAACCGCTTGAACCACAGCCCCCCACCCTCGGCCAAGGTGAAGAAAATCTTTGGCTGGGGCGACTTCTATTCCAACATCAAGACGGTGGCCCTGAACCTGCTCGTCACGGGGAAGATCGTGGACCACGGCAACGGGACCTTCAGCGTCCACTTTCGACACAATGCCACTGGCCAGGGCAACATCTCCATCAGCCTTGTGCCCCCCAGTAAAGCTGTAGAGTTCCACCAGGAACAGCAGATCTTCATCGAAGCCAAGGCCTCCAAAATCTTCAACTGCCGGATGGAGTGGGAGAAGGTAGAACGGGGCCGCCGGACCTCACTCTGCACGCACGACCCAGCCAAGACCTGCTCCCGAGACCACGCTCAGAGCTCGGCCACCTGGAGCTGCTCCCAGCCCTTTAAAGTCGTCTGCGTCTACATCGCCTTCTACAGCACAGACTATCGGCTGGTCCAGAAGGTGTGCCCAGATTACAACTACCATAGCGATACCCCCTACTACCCCTCTGGGTGACCCTGGGCAGGCCACAGAGGCCAGGCCAGGGCTGGAAGGACAGGCCTGCCCATGCAGGAGGCCATCTGTCTGGATACTGGGCAGGGAAGGGGATGGGCCTCTGGCAGGGAGGGGGGTGGAAGAGAGGAGATGCCAAGTAGGGCAGGGCCAAGTCTCAAGTGGCAGGAAGGGATCCCAAGTGCTGGCCCTAACCTGAGGCTGTGGAGCCACTAGGACACAGGAGCACTGTGGGAGGAGTGGGATCCCTGTGAGGCTTTCCCACTGAGCCACAGACAGATGCTGTCCCCAAGGTCCCTGGGCAGGCAGTCTAGTATGGCCCCAAATCAAGCCATGGAGAGGAACCTAACCTTCTGCCATGCTGAGAGAGGACAGCAACAGGGAGAGGGGGTGTTATCAGTGTGGACACAAGTAGTCAACTTGGGCTGGACGGCTGAGACAGGGCTTCCTGGGGCCAGCAGTGGGGTGGGATGGGACAGGGCAGAAGGAGCTCGCCAGCCCAGCCCAGTGGGTAGTTCTGAGTCCCTTGTCCTGCGCTGAGCACGGCATGAGGGTGATGTGGTGACCGTTGGGGTCATTGACCTCTGGACACATAGACCATCTGTCTCCAGCCAGGCTACCCCTTTCCAGACCTCCCTCTCCTGCCAGCACTCTCCACTCCTAGCCACCCTCCTGCTGATGGCACACTGTCCTTAAGCTGAGACAGGACAATGGTGGTCCTCTGAGCACCTAGTCCACAGATGTGCCGGGTGTCCCTCCTCCACCCCGCTCCCCTGCTGGCTCCTCTGGGAGCTTCTTTGTCCGAGCGAGTGGCCCCTCAATAGTCAGCCTCGCCTGTCAGACTGGGGCTCTCCCAGATCAGGATGGTGCCTCCCTCGCGGCCCGTGGGGCCAGCAGCAGCGTGGGGTGGCGTGAGCACTACCAAGCCCAACAAGACTGGAGGGCGCGCTGGACCTGTCCCTAGTGTCTGTCTGTGGGCGGGGGGAGGGGAGGGACGTCTTGTGAAATCACCCGATTGCCGACTTCTGTGTGCAGAATCTTGTTCGTGGAGCAGGGAATAAAGCTTTCCCCAGGGCGCTGGATTCCGAGTTGTCCAGGGGAGGGGGCCCCGGGTTCCCCTCGGTCCAGCCAACACTTCTCAGATGGCAGCAGGACATTTGTTGGAGACCAGAGCTGCAGTCTCCGACAGCCAGCATCAGGCTTCCCTCTTCAGCCCCGTTTCCAGGCCAGCAGATCCAGCACCAGGAAACCTGAGCAAACACCCTGTGCCTGGTGCTCGTAGGGGTGGCGGTGGCATCTGCAAGGCAGCCTGGGGAGGAAGAGTGAGTAGGTAGGAGGGGCCCCTGTTGCCCTCCCTGAATTGCCATCTGGGTAGGACCCATGGGGGTAGTGGCCAGAGACCAGTGGGGTCCTAGCTCTGTCCTTGTTTTCTATGTGGCCCTGGCCAAGTCCGTTCTCTCTGGCTCTCTTTCAGTTTCCTCCTCTATATCATGAGGGGCTTGCCCAGCCCGGTGGCTCTCAAATGTGAGTGGGCATTTGAATCACCTAGAAGGTTTATTAAAACACAGAGCTAAAGGCCCTACCCCAGAGTTCCTGATTCAGTAGGTCTGGGTGGGGCCTAAGAATCTGCAGGTCTAATGAGTGCCCAGGTAGATGCTGGTTCTGCTGGTCCAGGGACCACACTTTGGGAACTGCTCAAATGACTAAGTTCCTTTCTGGCTCTGGCTCCAGAGGATGAGGAGACACCTCTGATGCTCTCTCCCAACTGTAATCTTCGTCTGCTTCTGCTGGGGAAGGGTCCTTTCAGAGAATCTGAGGTATTGGGTTCTCAATCTGGCGACATGTTAGTGTAGGAACAGACTGGGGTGGAGTGGGGACACAGGGAGCCTGAAAACAGCCGTTGTCCCCCAGCCCATAGAAGGGGCTCAGAATGGGTGGCTGCAGATGGCACCTTGTCAGGGAGTTAGTTGGTCCCTTTGGGGCTCAATGAGGGGAAGTCTGAAGCACTACCAGGATCACAGTGCCCTCTCTGGAGGTCATTCTACGTCTGTTCTCAAGGGAGGGCAGCACGCAGGTCTCCTGGGTCCCTTTTGGCTATATAGCTGCAGTGAGGACATTAGCGGGAGGGTAAGCCAGCCTTGCCACCCCGTCTTTAGCGCCAGCCCACAGTGCTCAGCAGGGAACAGTTCCCCTCACGTTGCAGCATGGAGCCAGGCAGGGCTTAGAAGCCACATTGTAGCAGTTCCACCAGAAAGGGCAAGTGACCTGTCCTATCCCAGCTTCTTTCCCCAGCACCGTGCTTCCTGGGGCCATCTCTCCTGAGCAGAGAATTAAGACACACGGCCCTTCTCAACCCCCCATTGCCACACTCTGCCTCCCAACCCTGGGACAGGTGCTCGGAGTTCAGAGAGGCCCAGGGGCTTGGGCCCTGCCATGGGAGGCTTGCAGCTGCTGCAATCCGCAGTGTTCTCCCACCTGCGACACCCACCAGACACCATCGAGGAGCACCTCCCACAGCACTGTGGCAACTGGAAGAAGACAGGAGGGAGCCATGGGGTGGGTGGCCTGGCTGAACCCTGAGCAGGACCTGGGGACACTCTGACCCGCCCCCCTCCTGCTCCTCTCCTCCTGTGGAGAGCCAGATGCTGCCGACAGCTGGAAGGCCCGGCCTGCCTGGCACACAGTTTTGCCTGCACAGGGGGTGGGTTCATTTTAATAACTTCATTTCACCCTCGTGCACACTCTGTCGCCTCATTCCCCCTTTGCTGCCTTTCCCAGTAACCTGGTTGTTCTTCTCGGCTAGGATTTTGCTAACAGATTTTCTTCCAAATCTTAATTCTTTGGAGTAGCCGTCTGGTCCCTACTGTTCTAGCCAGGTACATTCTGTGCCCCCTTGGTCCTCACAAAGGTGAGGGGTCCATCCACCTTCCTCTGGCTAAGAAGGTGCCCACCTCTGCCCCCTTGGTGAGCAATGTCTATGGCATCTCCCAGGAAGAAGAACCCCTAGTCACCACGAAGTGCTCCGACCCCCCACTCTTGCCAAACCTGACAGCAGATTCCTCTGGAGGGAGCTGTGCCGCCTCTCCCGCCGAGAGGAGGCCCAGGTTCTCTTTCACCCAGCCCCCTGCCCCCCACTCCATCACAGTGCAGTCTCTGGAACAAGCCTGCCGAAATGGGCGCTCTTAAGGCTCTTTGAGGACAGGGCTTGTATTTCTCCATCAGACTGGGGAGTGCTGGGGCCGGGGTCTGTGCCTCCCTCATCAGACTGATGAGGGCAGGGGCTGGGTGGCCCTTCAGACTGGAGTCGGCCAGAGGACAAGAACTGTAGTGTGGATGAAGGGAGAACAGCTTGCTCTTTTCTAAGCCTCCGAACACCTGGAGGCTGACTCTGCCCTTTAACTTTGCACAAAGGTGCAGTCTGGCCGCAGCATTCCCACCTCTAATGGGGTGAATCTTCCCCACAGTCTGTGAAGCTCACGAGAGGGAACACAGGTGAGGTCAACCAGCAGCAGAGCTGAGTCTTCCTCTTGGTGACGCTTAAGGCAAAAGTGAATGGGTGTCTGGCCTTCTCCTCCCGCCTCCCTCCCCCCTGTTCTCCTTCCCCGGGATGAGCAAGCGGGAACTGAGTCACCCCCTTCCCCATCCTTGGCAGGAATGCTGGTGACCTTGCATGTGGCAGACTCTGTGGTGAGGCCCATTGCTCAGAGATGCAATGAGGTGGGTGGGCGGGTAGGGGAGCTGGGGGAAGGATGATTTATGGGGGAGGAGGCAACTGAAGGTCAGGGGGTGACCAGGGACTTGGATCATCAAGTGGGGGGTTGTGGGAGACACAATGAACCAGTCACTCTGTGTCAGGAATTGATCCAATGTCACGGCTGGGAGTGGGAGAGAGAAATGTTACTTCCGAAGAGTCTGAGTCCTGTGGCACTGCGAGGAGAACCAGGGGCTGGGGTGACAGGCGAGGAGAAGCACCACCAGCCCTACCAGGCAGAGGCAAGATTGAGTGGGGGTGGCACCTGCCAATTATGCCAAAGTCCTGGAGTGGCAGCTGACACCATCACCAAGACACAAATGTCAGAGGAGACCTGGCACTCACCACTCAGGGGCTGGGTTCTGGTTCCATGGGGACCCTGTTTTCCTGCTGGCCTGCCAAGCTCAAAGGCTGACCTGATAATAACTCAAGCAAAGGATGCCTCGTTCAAGGCCTCCCAGTGCCTCTTCTCAGGGCCACTTGGCTAGCTGGTCCCAAGGGACAAACTAGCTCCTCCCAGACTACGGAGGCTAGAACTGTGTGCTTGCTGTAGGAAGCTATATCTGGGTCCTCATCCTGGTCTGTACCTTATTAGCCTTGGACAAATGACATAACCTCCCAGAGCCTCCTTATATGAAAAACTAGGGCCCTACTTGCTTTGGAGCATTGTTGGGAAAATTAAATGAATTTTTCAACAAATGTCATTTCCTCCTCTCTGTTTTTGGAGATGAGTTTATGTTAACTTTAGCCTTGTTCCCAGAGTGAGGAGGTGAAAGGATCAGGCTTCCTGTCCTGGTTTTGTCCCATGATACATATGGCAAGGATTGCTAATTGTCCCATAATATCCATTTCCACTTTCTTCATAGTAATGGGATCCTCAGTTTTTAGCTGGGAACATGGCTGCCTGAAATAAATACTACATTTCTCTGCCTCCCTTGCACCTTGATGTGGCCATGTGACTGAGATCTGGCTGGTGACCTTTAAACCAAAGTGTTATATGGCAACTTCCAGAAATCTTAAAGATAGTTGATGTCCCCCTTTGCCCCTTCTTTGTTCCTTCCCCCATCCTGCTGCCTGGAATATGTATGTGATTGCTGGAGCTCTAGCTGCCATCTTAGACCATGGAGATAAGAGCCACACTTTTGAGGTGGCAGAGCTGTGAGCTGGAAGAGTCTTGGCCCTTAAAAACTTTGTGGGATAGTAATACTATACCACCCCTAGGCTGCCTATCTTCAACTTGTGTGTGAGAGAAAAACCTAGTTTCTACGTTATTTAGGCCACTGTGCTTTGGGTGTCCATTCCTTGCAGTGAATTCTAGCTCTGCCTGATTCAGTGGAGGTATTTAAGTACTTCACTTGTGTGGAGCTCAGTTTGCTCATCTGTAGAGCTGAGATATGCTTATGTACCTTGCCACACATCAGAGAGGTTTTACTAACACATCAGCAAGAATGAACTTGGGAAAGCTCTGGCCCCCCTCTGGTGACGAGTCATATAGCCTCCATTTTGGGGGGTGGAACAAGTTGTTGCTATACTGCAGGGAACCCCCAAGGGCCTCAGGAGGACTCTCTACCCCTGTCTGAAAGACCTTTAGTCCCCAAATTCAGCCCCCACACATCTGAGTCCCCATCCACATTCTGATGTTGGTGACATACAATCCTCGTTAAGGGCCTGACTGATCCCAGCCAGATGGGATCCTAATTTAATTAAAACCCTTTAATTACCTGCAACAACACAGCTTTGGAAGTCCAGTGCAGAAGGGGACTGTGATGGGAGCGGTGCTGTCGACAGGGTAGAGTAGTGCTGCCCTTTCAGCACTCAGGGATCCCAGGGCTGCGAGGCATCCCCCACCCTGTTAGGCACAAAGCCAGTGTGGCCTGGGCTTCTGGCGTGGTCTACAGGGTACAGCCAAGTGGGGAGTGGAACAGACCAGGCCCTTGGGAGCAGAGGACAAGGCTCTTGGGCCCGAAGCTGTCAGTGGTGGTTTTATGTTTACACTGAGACCAGCACAGCCAGTTTAAGGTCAGGTCTGAGCCCTCCTGAGACCCTGGCCCTGCCCAGAACAGTCTGGGTAGAAGTAGGCATGGCTCTGATTTCTCCCGGATGACCTCACCATCCACCAAAGGAAAGCCATGCCCCTGTGCACAGAGTCTTTCCTCAAGGTGTCATTCACATGGGAGGGGGATAAAAGAGAGTGACAGGTGGGCTGAAGAGGGGCCATATGGTTTCTTGGGTACTAATAAGGACTCCCGTGGTGCTAGGCCTCAACTGGCTCCTCCCTGTGAAGGCAGAAGGAAGTTCCAGGCCAGGCCAGAGCCTGCCAAGCCT